AAAAAAAAAAAGATCCCACCACGGTAGAGAGAGGCCGCTGACTCGTTCTTGCCAGCTCACTGCTGCTATTTGGGAAAAGGATGTTAAACAAGACTCGAAACCCTTGGAAGCAGGAGGCTTGTGTCAGAAGCCTCCCGGACGCCGCCGTTAGTGATGGCGCTGCCCGAGTGGCACGCTCTTCACATGGCTCTCCCTGTCAAGGAGAGAGCCATCCGTTGCCTCATCTTGGGAGACTGGAAGATGCCTAGCAAGTTGCAAAAAGCCCACAGAGGGCCAGTGAGATAGTTCAGTATGTAAAGGCACTGGCTATCAAGCTTGATGGCCTGACCTCCACAGAGGCATGCATCTGAAACACACACACACACACACACACACACACACACACACACACACACACCAAGTAAACAAAAGACCCACAGAAATCTCTGGAACATATCTATTAGACTGGTATCTGTGTTCCAAAGAGCGACTATAGCAAATCTGCTCTGGTTGAATGTTAGCATTTTCTCAAGGATGTTCTGCCAAATTCTTCTGGGTCCCGACTCCAGCCCCCTAATAGAGCACAGCTGCAGACCTGGAAACTGGTCCTTTGAACATTTAGAAGCATCTCTGCAGGCTTCCTTCTTACTTGAGACACATATGGCCACTGAAAAATAATGTGTATCTAACCCTTCCAGCCTGTCAAGGAACTGTTTGTGAAGCAGACTGGGACTCAGTCAGTGGCTCCTTTGTGATCTGTGAGCAGGAAGACGCCTCCTAGGCCTGGTCCTCCCCTCTGCACACCCCTGGGACAGGGGTGCCTTGAATAATGGCTTCTGAAGTTTTTCTGATCAGCTGGACATCAATAGGTTTTCTGGAGAGACTTAGTGTCTCAAACAGGTTATATGCCCAGTACCTGCTGAAGTTAATAGGATACTTTGTATAAAGAGCAGGCTAAGCAGTCCAACCACTCATAGATAACTGCTGTTACATTTTTGGTGTATAACTCTAGACAGTTTTTTTTTCAATGCCTAAATATCAGTTTTCAGTTTTTGCAAAACAGGAATCATACTGAACTCAGTTTAAACATGTCAGTACATTTCAAAAAACCACTTATACTTTTGAGACAGAATCTTGTTACATAGCCCAGGCTGGTCTTGGGTTATATTGCAAGTATGCACTACCATACCCAGCTTCATATATTATATTAATATATATTATACTATTATTAATTCTGAATTTATAAAATATAACTATATTTATGTGTATATGTGCATGTGTGTGAGTACACACCTGCCGTGGCTGGAACCCAGAGGTCAGAGGACAACTTTTTGGAATTAGTTTTCTCCTTCTACCATGTGGATCCTGGGGATGGGATTCGATCCTCAGCTTAATGGCAAATGCCCCCCTATCCACTGAGCTATCTCACCAGACCATGTCATATTCTTGAGTGGCTGCTTAGGTTTTTGTTTTTTCATTTTGTGAATGTGTGTAGTATATGCGTGTGTGCACATGTGGATGTGTGTGTGTGTGTGGGGGGGGGTGGTGCACAGGCTCACACACGGAGGCTAGAGGTTGACATTAGATACCTTTCTCTTTCCTTCTCCACCTAATGTTTTGAGACAGGGTCTCTCACTGAATTTGAGGCTTATAAATGCCTAGACCAGCAGGCCACTGAGCCCTTGGGATTCTTTTGCATCTACCTCTCAGTGCTGGGATCACAGGCACACCACACCATGCCTGGCTTTGTCTGTACCTGGAACCCCAACTTGGGTCTTTACACTTGTGTAACAAACACTTTACCTATGGGGGCGTCTCCCCAGCCTCCTGGCTGCTTACCTTTTACCACGTGGGTTCCACATATGTAACTAATTGTCTACTACTAGATTTGGTAATCTAAGAACTACTACTAGCTGGAATTAGATTTGACTTTATAGGAAACACCAAAGAATAAGGTTTGAACAGGATGGCTATTTCTTCCTCTTAGTGTCCAAAGGTAGGCAGTCCAGGGTTGATACAGCAGGTAATGCGAGGTGGTACTTCATCTATCTTCTCCTCCATTATCTTTTTGGAGTGATTCAATCCACAGGTCAATTCTTAGCTTAAAGTAGCTGTAGGGACTCTGGACATCACATCCAAGTTCAAGATCATACAGAGGAAGAAGAGAGTCCAAAGGGTCTCTCCCCGGTGAGTCAGCTTCTTTTAAGGAATCTCTCTGGGAGTCCTGTATACCACTTCCACTTTCTTGAAGTTGTTTATGCATGGTTAGATGCAAGGGTGGCTGTGAAGAACCAGGGAGATGGCTTAGCAGGTACAGGGGATGTGAGTTTGATCCCTGAAAAAACGAATGGAGAGAATTGATGCCATAAAGCTGTCCTGTGGTGAAAATGAAGAAAAGCTGTGTTGGGTTTGTAATCAGCCTTGACCTGCAAAGCCCACCTTAGTGAAATGTAAAGGGGCAAAGTCCTCTCTGTCCTCTCTGTCCTCTCCAGTGGGGTTGTAGGAATGTAAGAGTATCCTAGGGTCAAAGCCAGCATGATCCAACTGGAAACACCCGTGAACCTGCTTTCAGGAAATGAGGTTTCTAAGAAATGACATGCAAATTCTGCATGTGTCTTACTGGAACCCTATTCCCTTTCAATTACATTATGCCCAATTTTAAGGAGTTTTTTTTTTCTCCAAATAAAAGTCCTAAATATTCATGAATTCAAACCAACCCTCCTTGTCCCAGTGGAGCAATGCGGGATCCTGGGAAGAAGTGGAGCCCTGAGGCCAAGCAACTTGGTTAAAATCCTACCTCCATTTATTACTTTGGTGATTGCAGGTAGATCATGTGACCTGGGCAGGCCTCCGTTTATGGGGCAATTAAAAGGGACCAAAGCAATAATGAACTGAAAGTGCCTGGCACCATAATTAGCTCACAGAGATGCCTGCCATCAACAGATGTTTCCACAATCTGGCCAGAAATGAGAGTTTAGGTGTACGGTGCTGAGTCTTGTCCTTACCAAGAATCCCTTTAACCACGCAAATAACCACCCCTTACTCTATCTGTTGGTCTTCCTATTTTCAAATGTCCCAGGAGCCTAAATATAGCAGGGCATCTCTAGGCATGCTGCTCCCAAACCTTGGCCTTGACACCAGTCTTCAAGTGCTGTCCTAGAATTCTACCCCTACTACCCAGCTCCTGCCCACCCGGGAATTCCAAAACCACTGATAGATGTTTGCTACTGAGAGTTGAAAATTTCAGATGAAGGGGAGTGAGATTTGGGAGGAGGTGGTTCATAGGTATTCCCGAAAGCCAGTCACTGGCGCTGTCTACTTTCTTCTCTTGTTTTTAAGAATTCAGAATTTGTTCATGCCTTTTAGAACTTGTGGAGAAGAGGAGTTTTCCTTTGTGCCCTGCCAAGCGTGGAGAAATTGAGGCCCATGAGAACGGGCTTAAATAAAATCGTACAGTAGTGGTGGCGTGACCACAGGACCACAGCTCCAGCCTTTCAGGCCTGCCCGTGTTCCAAGCTCCGAAGTCCTTCAGAGCTAATGACCTGACATGGTTAATTGCTCACAAGTCTGAGCATCAGAGGTCAAGAGGATCATTAGTTGCAGCCTGGAGAAGAGCCATGTCATCTCCAAGGGGAATAATACGTCCGATGAATAGGAGCATTAGAGATTTTCATGTGCTCCGTGCCTGTTTCTCCCGCGAAAGGTGAGCTGCCTTCTTGAAGCTGCAAGCTGGCAGATTTCACTCTGTGCTATTTCTGAGGCCTTGGAGCAGAGCATCCTCTCCACTCTAGATCTCTGAGAACTCCAAAGAATCTGGTGCAGGGTGTTCCTGTGAAGGAAGATCTTGACAAGTATCCACAGAATCTGGGTGATTGGGGGGTGCAACAGGAACGCGTGGTGTGTGGCTCCATCCACATACCTTTAGGTGAATGGGCTGTCCAGCCGTGGAGGACTCAGGAAACCATCCCGGGCTCTTACTGCTGAGAGGCGGTGCAGGAAGGCCGGAAGTGAAGCCTGCTGGGAGCCAGTGACTCATGCTGTGCCAGCCAGGTCCCCCAGCTGTGCAGGGGCTGTTTATAAATATCAGTTACCAACCATCCATCTGGGTCCCTTGGGTTCTCGGAGTTTACAAGCAAAATAGCTTCGGTAATTTCAGCTCTGGGATTCACTGATGTAGAGCTTGTTTACTCTCCAGGAAGTCTACTTGCTGCGTGTCAGGGTGCTGAGTGGGCGGCTTGTGGTGCGCGCCCGGGAAAGGTGATTTGACCTAAAAATCTATTAGTAAATTTAGAATGAACAAAAATGACCGTGGCACCAGAAGAATCTGTGGTGGTGCTGGCGTGCCTTGGCGTGCCGGAGTGGCTCGGTTCTTCAGCCCATCCTCTCAGCCCCTTCCTGCCTTCCAAATATCTGTGACCTCTCTGGATTTACAAACTGAGAAAGAATCTTCAAAGGGATGAGACTAACAGACAGGGCCTTTGGCAGCCTTGTGACTGCCATTAGTGCCTTCATACAGGAGGCCTCTTGAGTTAGGTGACTCTGTCTGTTAGGTGACAGGTGTTATCTGTGGAGGAGGTGGACTACACCAGCTAACCAATCTTTTGGTACTTTGATCTTGGACTTGTTGAAAGGACCAGAATTCGCATAAGACGTACCAAGACCAAGTTCTCAGCCCAAAGGAGATTTATTTGTCCTAGAGGGACAAAGGGCAGAGAATAAGAGACAAAGACAGGAGACAAGAGGACAAGGGAGACTGGAAAAGGAACAAGTGTGTGGGGGTGGACATTTACTCCAAGGGACAAAGGACTGCCTCTAGACAGGGAGGAGACAGATGTGGCCCATAGGCAAATGGCAGTTTATAAAGGGAAAAGGGGAAACCCCATGTTAGGATGAGTTGGTTTGTTTTGATTGGGTGTGTGAATTAGGGCAGCCAAAAGGGGCTTTTGATTGCTGGACTTCAATACTTTGATAGCTGGACCTTGGTGGTCAGCCTCAGGAGGAGGGAGTGGCCAAATAAGGGAATGGACCTTGGTGGCTGGGCTAGCTTTAGGAATGCAATCTAACGGTTTAGCAAGGCAGAGGGAATTGGGGAAGAGCAAGGCCTGCCAGAGCCGTGTTTGCCATGCTCGGGCCTGCCAGAGTTCTTCACTTGCAGCTTGAATGGGAGATTCCTCTTCTGTTGCTTATCAACCACAGAGTCCATGGTAGTTTGCTATGGACTGTCTTATCCCCGACTGTCTGTAAGGTGATTCTGACATGGAAGATAATGAGTTCGTGGTCATTCTGCAGTATAGTGCAGGGCCTTTTCACCCACAGTCCTCCACTGCCCAGCTTCCCTGGGTAATTTCCTGAGAATCCTAAGTCCCAGGTTGGGCTTGTATTTAGGGTCGGACCATTTAGGTTGCATCTGAGGAGTCAGTACAGTCAGGGCCATCCCTGTCGCTTTACTGTATTAATTTCCATGGGGAAGGGACTTGCTGGGGTGGGCCATTTTCTCCCTGGAACAGAACAGATACTATGTTCCCTTGAGTCTCACTGGCCACTGGACCTATGGGAGTCTAAGTTCTCTGCAAAGACCTGCAGGACACACTTCTTCCGGTCAGGAGTGTACCATAGGTGAGCACAGGCAATGGCATCCCAGGGCAGCACTGGGAGGGACAGAGGAGGGAGAAGGTGTGGGGAGGGGTGTGCAGGCTTGGTTACAGTGCAGATTTCAGAGACCCTGGTCCCACCTTGTCACCTAGAGAGAGAGGTGTCACCCTGGGGATGCAGGTAGCCAGTACCCAGTCATGGTCATCAACTTTCCTGTGGTATGTGTCAGAATCAGGAGAGTTCCAGGGCCACCTAGGAGAGCTGACATCAATTAGAGGCCCAGGAAAACACCAGAGTGTCTGTGACTCAGACAAGCTGTCCCAGGGCTCCTCAACACAAACTGCTTAAGACTTGGAGTGGGACAGAGCTAGCAAGTTTGGGGCAGGCACTGTTAGTATGACTTACATGGCGTCTGGGGGAGGCTCAGGCTGTTCAGAGTTCTCTTCCTTTCTCATTTCAGGGAGGAGGAACCAAGAAATGTGGGGGTCAGTGGTAGTGGTGACAGTCTCTGAGTCCATGCTCACTGTCTGTGTCTTTGGAATCCGAGTTAGATTCTGCTTTCTGCCAGCTTCCTCCCTTCCC